ATTATACATTGCTTGGCATTTAAAGAATTATGAATTGTATGGCTGGTTTCAGTTCTAGTCTTCTGATTTCTTCATGTTTTTAATGTTATCTATTCTTGTGACTCCATCAGCTCTATGTCTGTTATATTTCTTCAGTTTGACTCTCTTGACAGTTGATACCAGGACAATCTTATCAGATGGCTAGACCATCTCATATGTTGCTCTTTAAATAATTATATGATTGGTTTCAGTCGTAGTCGTCTGATTTCTTCTTTTTTTTATGTTGTCTTTTTAGTCTGCAGCTCTTCTAAGACATCTCACATCTGCTGTTATAATTTTGCACTGGTTAATTATAGTGAACGGGTTCATGTTTGACACTGGTAGACCAGAGCTGGCACAAGAATAGTTCTTAATAGTATATTGAGGATATCTTTGTATAAATCTATATATAACTGAAGATAAATTCTATTATATAAGTATATATATAAGTTCTTCTATCTTTCTACTTCTTTCTATGAGTGCCGTTCACAATACTTTCTGTTACTTGATTAATATAACTGAAGACATACACACTAAATTAAGTCCATTATGTTGGAAAGTTAGTTTTTCAGCTGTACATATACATACATAATCTGATTAATTTAAATGTACGCAGTTATAACAGTGAAGTATTATGTGCATATTAATTGGATACAATTTTATTCTGTTGCAGCACATGTCTTCGACTGAATATCCTGTTTGTATGTAATAGGACTAAACATTGTGTGTGTACGTATACTTTGCTCTGATGTAATCATTTCAGTACAGATACTTGTACACTTTTGTATGATACTTTGTGAGCATATTAACTCTTTCAGTTTGAGAAGGTGATAGTTGATAGTGAGTCAGTTGTGAAATCAACAAAATAATGGTTATACTACATCCACTGGACCCAAATACACATCCTGTTTTGGGAGACAAATGTGTTGTGTGTGTTTTAGCTTACCTTGACTGAAGATAAAATGTACAAGCATAATAATATGTTAGCTGTTGCATATGAGTAGATGCAGTCAAATATGGTGCTTTGTTTGGAGCTGAAGAGTTCAGATATGTATAAATCCGTTGAAAAGTTTGAAAGTATGCATTTTATAGGGTACCGGTGGTCAGTGGATTGTAACACTTTGATAAGGCCAAATGTGTGTGTGTGTGTATAGTTTGTACTGATATAATCATTGCAGTACAGATACTTGTATACTTTTGTATGATACTTTGTGAGCATCTTAAGACATGCTTAAATTTACTGAAAGATGAGAAAGTATGAAGTTTATTAGCGTTCATGTAGTTAGTTGATTGTTCTTCTATGAAATGGGGGGGGGAGGGGGGGGGGGGGGCGCACTCATGCACTGTGTGTGTGTACATCTACTTTGTGGTGGTATAAGCTTTGCAGTGTGAATACCTGACTAAGTGTTTAGCCATGTCCGCATCTTGTACATGTACTGTGTTTTTTCAGTGTTGAATTAAGAGTCGACATCACAGCACTGGGGATATTCCCATAAGTGCTCCATCCCTCATGTTCAGCAGCAAGCGAAGAGTTCCAATTCCCGTGGCACCAGTAGCCGTCTGATTGTATATTTTTGAGTGTCGGCCGCATCCCCTGGTAACTCCTCGCAGCACCATACTTCTCAGACCATAATGATGTTTTTTCAGTGTATACGATGTCACCATTCATGACGACACCTATTTTTGTAGCTAAGAATTTAGAAATAAATGTTTTAAGCACCTTCCATGTATAAGATGACCCCTAATTTTAAACTTAAAAGATCTGGGAAAACACATTGACTTAGAGAAAAAATACAGTACTGTACTTGTAAGTGATACTTTGTAGGCATATAAACGTGTGTGTGAATTCTTGAAAAATGTGGCAGTATTGAAATTTCCGTGTGGACCATCAAATTATCAGTATGTGTGAATTGTTGGGAAATGTGGCAGTAATGAAGTTTGCGTGTGGACCAACAAATTATCAGTATGTGTGAATTGTTGGGAAATGTGGCAGTAATGAAGTTTGCGTGTGGACCAACAAATTATCAGTATGTGTGAATTGTTGGGAAATGTGGCAGTAATGAAGTTTGCGTGTGGACCAACAAATTATCAGAATTTGTGAATTGTTGGGAAATGTTGCAGTAATGAAGTTTGCGTGTGGACCAACAAATTATCAGTATGTGTGAATTGTTGGGAAATGTTGCAGTAATGAAGTTTGCTTGTGGACCAACAAATTATCAGTATGTGTGAATTATTGGGAAATGTGGTAGTAATGAAGTTTGTGGGTGGTCCAACTGTCTATCAGTGTGTGGTTATCATTGTAATAATGAACCAGTCTGTCAATGTGAAATTATCGAAGCAGTTATGCAAACCCTTATTAAAAGCTCAGAATAAACAGATTGCATCAGGTCATTTTTTAGTATGTTGTTTTTATTTCCAACTAGCTGTACCCGGCCACGCGTTGCTGTGGCATAGTTTGGCTAAATGGAAATGAAAGAAAATAGAAATCGCACGTGTCTAATACAATCATTGTCTGCTCAGATATAGAGATAGTCTTTGATCCCCCCCCCCCCCCCTCACCACCACAACGAAATCCACCTACTACTCTCTCCTCATCAAAGGTTTTTGGAAAAGAAAGACAATGGAAATCGCACGTGTCTAATATAGTTGATGTCGCAATCATTCTCTGCACAGATATAGAGATAACTTAAGAACACGCACCTTATAATTGTGCCCTTATATTAGTGGTCGTTTAAATGGTGTTATTAGCACATTAACAAAAATGGTTATTTGGTTATCACATGCTAAAGCTGTTTGTATTTTTATAGGAGACGGAAGTAAAGCTACAACTGTACTTGTAAATAACAAAGTAAGTCGTAAAAAATAGAAAAGCGGAGGTAGCGTTAGTTAAATATAAACAAATTAGGTAATGAGAACTTGAAAATTACGTGTAAAGCCCAGGATAGAAAACTGCGACTCCCCACTACGCTGTGAGGCAATTGTGGACAAGACAAGACAAGACCCCCTCCCCTCCCCTCTTCCACCGACTACTGCTCTCTCCCTCTTCGAAATATTTGAAAATCATTACCTGGCAATATTTTGTTGTTGCTGTAACTGACATTGACATCCCTGTCCATCCAAACTAAAATGGGGAGCAGGAATTGTAATAGGTAGTGAATGGGGCTAGTGTAATATTTACCACATCATGCTTCAAGTACCAGTACAACTACTACCACGACCACCACCACAGTAGCTAAAATAATGTCACTGCTATCTGTGTTACTATCGGAGTAGACAGAGAGTCGTGAGCCAGAAGATTTAGTTCCGCATTGCTAGTGCTGTCGCCACAGACTGGTCATCAGGTTAGGATGTATAATTTCGCTTCCCGACAGAAGAACGCCATAACCTTACCAGCGGTCTTCACATGAGAGCACTACGGTGTAACAGCCCAACCACAACTACTACTGCTGCTGCTAGTTTAAGTGGGTAAAGCAGTTACTGTGACTTGAAGCTCTCTCAGTAATCAGTTTGCCCCCCCCCCCCCCCCCCCCCCCAAATTCACCGACTACTCTTTCCCTCGACTACTCTTTCCCTCATCGAAGTAGTTGAGAGGGGAAAAAAAAAAAACCAATTGAAAAGCAAATTAAAACAGGAAAAATACACCAGAATTAGGAAATGAACGCTATGGTAAACAGCACAGCCTAAAATTCCAACGCAGATGAAATAATTAAATCTAAATGAAAATAAATGGAAAGCTATGAAATTTCAGCGTAACCATGCAATCAAAAAGTTTAAAATGAAATCATAAGTATGTGAAATGGTCAAATTTAATTATCAACTGGTTTACCCACAAACCTGTCCTTGTTTTTTTTTTTTTTTTAAATATATATTATTAAGGGCCATATGGCTAGTGCTGTCGCCACGACAGTGCAGGTGAGGATTTTATTTTGGCCCTAAGTATAAAAAAATTTTTTAAAAACTACTGCGGATTCAAACCCTGGTCTCCCTCTCAAGAGCCGAGTGTTCTAACCATTTGACCAAGCAACCACTCGATCGGAATAACGAAAAGAGAACATAACTATTTTAGATGTGTGTCCCTACTGCAGTGTCCCGATTTTAACACAACTCAAAACAGCAGGCAATTGTTTTCTCATAGACAGATATTCCAAATATATTAATGAAACGGCACAACAAAAGAAATCGCACGTGTCTAACACGGTTAATGTGGCAGTCAATGTCTGCGCAGACGTCGAGATAGTCCCTGATGCCCCCCCCCCCCCCCCCTCTTTTTCCCTACCAATCCATCGGCTACTTTTCAACTCATCGAAGGATGTTTAAAAAAAACAGAAAATAGAAATTGTGTCTAATATAGTTATTGTGGCAATCACTGCCTGCACAGATATAAATATAGTCTTGTTTGCTGTACCACGACCTACTCTATGTATTAGAGGAGGTGTTGGCTGCACGGCGCATGCGCAATTACTAACATGGCTATAATTAGAAATCACTAAAATTATAAATACTAGTTTCAAATATTAAGGCTTAATTTGTGGTCACCTATCTCTAACAGTGACAGGTTGAATTTCAAACCATGATGGTTCAACATCCGGTATCAAAACAAACATATCCTGAAAATGTCAGCTAAATCGGTTCAGTAGTTTCCGAGTCTATAGGGGGCAAACAAACACACAAACATTGATTTTTATATATATAGATAATAATAAGTAATAAGGTGTCATTTGATCTGGGTGGGTGTTTGTGTTTGTCTGGCTGGATGCGTATGTGAGGGTAATTGTATTGTGCTTATTCAGTGCTATCTAGTTCATCAGACTGTTCAGCAGTTGCACAGATGTACTGTTGTCTCCAACATTTAACAAAATACCTTTTTTGCATAAATGTTGATTTATTGTCTCTGTTCATACATTCTGTTGTTTAAATGTGACATAATTCAAACAAACATCCGACTTGAATTACCTCTTTTTTTTTCAAACTGGCTGCGGAAATCATTCGCACTGCCCATGATAGATGTGAAGATCATCAATGGCTACATCTCCCGCACTTATATGGGCTTCCAGTGTCACCTGGTGAGGGTAAAATAAAAATGAAAAAAACGCCATAAATTTATCAGATGCAACAAATAAACAACCTGGTATGCAGGACGAAAATATGTGTTAAAAACATTGACATTACCCCTTATTCTACACACCAGTACACGCTAGCTCATTTCAGATTGGTCGGCCTTGAGACACCCGATCTTCACACAAGGTGACAGGGGTTTTTCCCAATGTCTCTGGTATCGCGTGTTCTTCTATATTACACCATGCCAGCGCTCCTAACACTACAAAAACATTTAGAAACTGGGTCTAACACACAGCCCCCCTAGAGAGTGCTGCAACCTATGTCACAGGAAGTCTCTTTCTCAGGAAAAAAGGTTGATGCAAGACAACAACAACAGAGCGCCACACCAATAACCTCGACTACAGTAGACTAGTCCAACAAATTTATCAATGGAATGTGACCTACTTCCTGTGGGGAAACTAATGTTTGTTTAAATTTTATGTAGATGATAATCACTGGTGTGTACAATCATGCTTTTGTCTATGTGGCCATCTCAGTAGCATTTATCAGTTCCTGGGGAAAGTAATCTTAGCTGCTATCAGGATCATCATCATCCTGTGTCGTTGGGTCACCAGTTTCTGACTGTCTGATCAGCTCTCTCCATCTTTGGTGGTCACTTGCGATCGACTTCATGTTTGCATGCCCGAGTCCTGTCCAGTCGGTCAGGTTCTGTAACCAGGTCTTTTTTGGTCTGCCTCTTCTCATCTTTCCCTCTACTGAGCCCTGCAGTATTGTTTTTGAAAGGCTGCTGGATCTGATAAAATGTCCATGACATTGCATTTTTTGCCTTTTTACTAGTTAAAAGAGGCTCATAGTTGCCAATGTGCTGTATAATTTTATGGCGAACCTCTACATTTGTGATGTGGTTTCTGCATGTTATGCAAAGAGTGTTTTTGAAACATTGCAATCTTGCTAGTAGCTTCGTTTTGAGTTCCGTTGTTAAGGTCCACGTTTCACAGCCAAATGTAAATGTACTAATAGCTAGTGCTGTGAGCAATCGAATCGTAGTTTTGCATGAAATGTTTTTGGATCTCCATGTTTGCTGCTTGGCAATGATGATGTTGTTTGGGCAATCCTAGATATGATTTCTGGTCTTGACCCCAGGCCACTTAAAATGGATCCTAAATATTTGTAATGATTGACTTGTTTTAATTTGTGACCTTTAACGTACATTGGTGAAGTTATGCCAGCTGGATTATTAGTCATTATCCCCCGTGTGGGTTCCGGGGCCCTATTGTGGGGAAAACAAGAATAGACCCACTGCCTCCCCAAAAGCATGTCGTAAGAGTCGACTAACTGGGGAGCTTCCTTTGAAGTCGGAGTGCATCTGCCTGAGAGGCAAGGAACCAGCAGTCTACATTCAATTGAATCAGATCTGTAAAACTGATGCACACGCAACATTCAAGTTCTGGAGCAGGACTGCAGTCCAGAAGTGGACGAACAACCAGAACTTTACGCCAGAGTGTACAGCTGGTGAACGCGAAGAAGAAGAAGAAGAAGATTAGTCATTATGTTAGTGTTTTTTTCTGCAATTATTTCCATGCCGTACTTGGTCAATGTTTCATTGAACAGATTTACAAGCTCGACTAGCTCTTGTTCTTCCCCGGACAATCCATCAGTGTCATCTGCAAACCTTCAGTTTGTTATAGTTCAACCTCCTATACTAACTTCAAAAGTCCTGGGTTGTTAGCATCCTTTGGATATTTTCTTCAGGTTTTGCTGGTGTGTTGGGAAATGAGCAGGCAGATAGACTGGCCGGTTCTATACCACTTGATAGTGAACTGATGTATGACAAGCTGGATGTTGTGAGGGCCCTTTGGGAGCGAGTGAACAGTGCCGAGGCACAAATCATTACGGTCTGACGAGAATTGCACTGTGATGAGTTACAAGGAGATCTGGCCAACGCTCAACACTTAGGGGAAAGGTGAGACGGATATACAATCAATTACTGGTACCATCGAAATTGTAACTCTTCGCTTGCTGCTGAAGATGGTGACGGAGCGCTTATGGCGGTGTCCCGAGTGTTGTGATGTCGATTCCTAATTCAACTTTCAACATTCCTCCTATTCTAACAGTTCCATGATGTTGTTTAGGGCGTCAGTTAGAATTCCTTCTCAGAGGATATTAAACAGTGTTGGGGAGAGAAGGCAGCCCTGACAGATTCCTACTGTTGTTTGGAACCAGCTCCCTGTTTGTCTGTTCAGTGTGACAGCACTACTGGCCTTGGCATAAAGCTGCTCTATACTACATATAGGTGTTTTACACATAATGTACTTTTTCATAGTGTATTCTGATCTGTTTGTCAACTGCACAGTGAGTCTCGTGCAGTATTTCCACCCTGGCAGGGTCCGCTCCTCTCCAGGTGACCATTCCCCTGTAAGCCTATATCCTCACAGATACGATTTCCAGTCTACACCACGGGGAGGTGGGGTTGGCGTGTACGATCAGGATACTAATTTTTGATTGTCACCTTCCTAGGAGAGCTAGCTAACCACCCCAACACTGCTGGCTGCAGTGCCAGGCGTGACCACATCTTGCCTTATCAAGATAGGGCATCAGCAGTAAACCCGTGTATGTATTCTTTATAGCCCGGCTCCCTACCGTAGTTGGCTAAACCGGATTGCGCGGTGACCGGGTGACGAGCTCTTTGTGGTCCAGGTTCACTCCCGGGGGTAGGCAGAAAAGCCACATTTCTCCCAGATTTATGGTATTTATCATGGAATCAAGGCCGAAAGGTTGCGATATCCATAATACCGAGCCTAAGGGTTAACAACTCATGGCTTCTAGATACTAAAACAAACAAACAATGTGTTCTTTATAATTGGCATGATTCAGCCACACAACCGGAGAATAAAAGCCAGGAGTCGCCACCTTGGTTTGACCCGCCTTTGAGTAAGGAAGGTAAAGGGCTGAAACATTCAGAAACGGGGGAGTTTTTCTGTCGATCGGAAGACTCCTGTTATGCTCGCTACTCCGTGGAGTTTCTGCTACACTACAGTTTGTTTGCTGTCCTGTCACCCTTCTAATGAATGTCAAGACCTCTCTCTCTCTCTCTCTCTCTCTCTCTCTCTCTCTCTCTCTCTCTCTCTCCCTCTCTCCCTCCCTCCCTCCCTCCCTCCCTCCCTCCCTCCCTCCCTCTCTCTCTCTCTCTCTCTCTCTCTCTCTCTCCCTCCCTCCCTCTCTCTCTCTCTCTCTCTCTCTCTCTCTCTGGTTGCATACAGGTGTTCTTGGCTAGCACTCCCTCCCTCCCTCCCTCCCTCTCTCTCTCTCTCTCTGTCTGTCTCTGGTTGCATACAGGTGTTCTTGGCTAGCACTTCAGTGTGACCGACTCGGTCAGTACTGTCTGTATATGGGGGCCGACATGGTGTAGCGGCTAGATGCTCGATTGCGGATCTGAAAGTCATGGGTACAGGCCCTAATTGAGGCCGACATTTTTTTTTTCAAATGTGACCTAGGCTTCCAGGTGGACCTAGCATCAAATGGGTATCAGGAAAGGTACTGGGAAGTAAAGATGGCTGGTGTGATGTTGACCACACAGCCCAAAGGTGTGGAAATTAGTTTGTTACTGTCTGTATATATATGCATAGTCGGCTCTGTGGCTAAGTCGATGCGAACGCTTCGTAATGCCTGGGTATTGGGTTCGATCCCAGCTGCGGACCAAACGCCATGCGTTGGTTTCGACAGTGGTATCATGGAGCCGACCGTCCAGCCAGAAATAGCAAACTACTGGACGTAAATTTGCCTAGTGAAACCGCACAACAGCCAGGGGCTGTTGGGGTTGGTTCTGCAACGTCCTGTAAAGGATACGCAACTAACCTTTATATATATATATATATATATATATATATATATATATATATATATATATATATATATATATATATATATATATATTTGCATAATGCAACAGTTACATAAATTTCATAACAGGCAAATGAAAGGTGAGAGGATCGATTTCATTCCATAGGGCTTTATCCCACATGACTCATTCTCTCTCACCAGAGCAGCTAGCTGCCTGCTGAGAGCGTCGCACAGAGCATGACCTCCATAGTTCCAGCGACGATCCCCGAGATTCTCGGTAAAAATTGCACTCTTTAACTGAACAGTGCAGCGGTTAAACGAACCCACGACCTTCAGAACGCGAGGCAAACGGCTTGACCACTTCGCCACAAAGACCCTCCTAAATTTCATAATGAAAACGGTTAATGTCACATTTAGGTCTCCTTAGACAAGTCATTTGTCTCACTCTGGGAAGGTCTTCGGATCTCTAGTGCATATGTTTCAGAGATCCCTCGACTGTCGACGCTGGGATCAAGAAGTCTATGTTCTCTAGTGTGAACTTGGTGGAGGATCAGACACAGTTGAGGATAGACTGAGCCTAGTTTCTAAAAGTCGGTGCAGTGACATCACTGACTCGTCTACAAAAGTATTTCCTTCTTCTTCGTATTTACCGGCTGTAAATTCCAGTAAAAAGGTCTAGTTGTTCGTCCACTTCTAGACTCTGGTACTGTTCCAGGACTTGGGTTTTTCATGCACATCCGTTTTTTTAGATCCGGCTGTTTGAAGGCTGTTGATTTCCCTCCTCTCAGGCAGATGCACTCCAACTTTGAAGGACACCCCCCCCCCCTTTTTTTTTTTCAATCAGTAGCCTCGTATGACATGTTTGTTAGGGGGCAGTGGGTCTATTCTGTTTCCCCTAGAACCCACACGAGGTAAACGTCTTGTTAAATACATCATCATCATCATGAAGTAGGTCCTTTGCAGAACGTTGTTCTCATCATGGTTTGCTTGAAAGAAACTCGGTCTCTTGCCAGCTCTCCCGCCTCATGTACTTTCATACTCAAGGAGTCACTTATATCCTGTGCCCATCTTTGTGTTGGTTGGCCCCTGCCCCCTCCTTCCTGGTTCCATGCCTTCTGCTATTATTTTTCCAATTCGCCATAGTGCTTGATATGACCAATAGTTCAGCTTCCAAGACAAGATGCTGTTAATTAACCGACCTTACTTGATGTTCACATCTTTTAAAATGTCTGTATTTCTTCTCCATATTAATATTAATAATATTTCTTCTTCATGGTATTCTGAGAATCTTTCTATAGCATTCCAGCTCGAAAGCTCCTAATTTTCTTTCTTAAGGCGCTGGGAGATAGTCCACGACTCACATCCGTGTGGTGCTACAGAGAAGATGCATGCATCAACATCACTGAGAGAAATGATTTGCCAGTCACCTGGAAAGCGGTATTGACAGAAATGTCCACGTATGTACGGGAATGATGCCACTGTTTGTAGATGCTGTTGCGATAGCTCTTGTTAGTGTTTTGAGGCACCTGGGGTCCGGACACTACCACGTTGAGGTAGGAAGAAGGTCCTGGCTGATAGACATACAGGTCGATGCACACTCCTCCCTTGTTGAACGTAGGAGAGACAACTCTGGCGACACCATGGTGACCGGAAGCTGTGGCGACCAAGTATGGATCTGGGGAATATACATAATATTAGTAAAATAGGGGAAATTAATAATAAGAGTATCATGGAAATATGTCAGTCCAGACAAGTAGAACGAACAGCTTTACTACCCCTGTGGGTTCCTGTGTCCCATTATAGGGAAAACAAGATTAGACCCACTGGCTCCCCAACAAGCATGTCGAAAGAGTCGACTGATTGGGGACTTCCTTCAAAGTCGGAGCGCATCTGCCTGAGGCCAGGAACAAATTGTCTGCATAAAAGCAAGCAAGATCTGTAAAACGGATGCTCCCGCAAAACAAAACTAAAGTCCTTAAATGGACGAACAGCCAGGTCATTTCGGCTGGGTTTAAAGCCGGTAAACGCAAACAACATACGACAACTTAGTTTTACGCTGAGGTTTTCATTAACTAATAATCCAAGGGTGCATAAAAATGCCATAAAATAATAAAAGGATATACTTCAAATATAATAATTAGAACTTTTTTTACGGAACGGGCGGGGACGATTTGATGCTGTCAGTGTCAAACATGGATTCTTGATTCTTCATACAACTAATAAGCGCAACTCATTACAACAGAGATGACATGTATTAAGCTTGAGTTTTAAGAAGAGATACAAAAAGACATAAATTAATTCTAAGAAAACTAGGACCGAAACCAGTTATACAGTTCATGAAGAGCAACAGATGGGATGCTTTTTGAAGTATCTTCAATCATTTTTTAAGCTTTATTCAAAAGTAATAGTAGTAACATGAGTTGAATGGTAAATACATAAAACAATATATTAAAAATAATGTGATCTGTATAAATAAATACTTATAAAAAGAAATGCTTATACGCGCTGGGGAGAGAGAGGGGGGGGGGTCCCTTACAAATGGTCTCCACAGAGGGTCTAAGCCCCTGTACACATGGTAGCTTTCCTTCTAATGTATGGTACAGGTTGTTCCATAATATGTGCTTATAGATGTACTTCAACAGTAGGAGACACTCATCGAAATGTAGTTTCATTCAGATCAGTTATATTTATGTGGAGTGCAAGTATCGAGATGCGGTTTTTAATTGGTGGTATTCGTGTAAAGCATATTAATGTATGAAAAGTAAAGGTTTTCATTTTAAAATGCACACATCGGAATGTTGTTTTAAATCGGTGGTAGTCATGTAAAGCATATTTAATTTTTATTGAATAATTCAGGAATCGAAATGTGGTTTTAAATCGGTGATATTTATGTTGAGCATATTATATTTCTTTTTTAAAAACGGTTTATACAGTGGGGTTCCCCACCCCCTTATGTAGGGAAACTTCTGGTACACCCTGAATAGAAACGATCACCAGCGCCACATAGCGAGGGAAATTTAAAGTTATCCGAGCCTACCTGCACCATTGGTGTTTCCAACCTTCGGCCCCGCACTGCTTGGCCCACTCCTGCGCACCCACTCAAAGTCGGCGGCCGTGTCACTGTGCAAGGTACAGATACTGCTCTCAAAGCTGCACTCAGCCAGTAGGTTACCTGCCGAGACATTGTTGAACATTAACGTCTTGACTTGCTCACTGTTCCTTGGGTGATTAGGTGGGTGGGTATGAGGCAATGAACAGAATTACAGAGAGAGACGAACAGATAGACAGATTTAAAGGTAGGTGGGTAGGTATGTGTGAATTCATTCACATACATGCCTACAATTCTCTCTTCGGCCACCCCTTCTCTCTTTCTCTGTCTGTCTGTCTGTCTGTCTGTCTGTCTGTCTGTCTGTCTGTCTGTCTGTCTGTCTGTCTGTCTGTCTCTCTCTCTCTCTCTCTCTCTCTCTCTCTCTCTCTCTCTCTCTCTCTCTCTTTCTCTCTCTCAAATACACGCAAATATACACACACACACCACCTGCCACATCTCTCTATATCCCGTACCTCAAATCTTCATTTAATTTGACTCTGTTTATACATACATGCGCGCGCGCATACACACACACACACACACACACACACACACACACACACACACACACACACACTACTTGCTAAATCTCTCTCTATCCGTCGCTCAAATTTGTTCATTAAATTTGACTCTGCTTACACAGACATGCGCACACACACACACAAACACACACGAAACTGGCTACATCTCTCTCTCTCTCTCTCTCTCTCTCTCTCTCTCTCTCTCTCTCTCTCTCTCTCTATCCCGTCGCACAAATCTGTTCATTAAATGTGACTCTGCTTGCACATATATGAGCGCGCGCACGCACACACACACAGATTTTCACTCACACGCACATAGAATTGTTGTAAATATACTCACCTGCTGTTAGAGGTGTGGTTATGTGAGTCGTATCTGTGGCGAATTGAGGAAAGATGGGTATTGAATTTTAGGGAGGTGGGAGTTAATAAAGATAATCAATACATTAAATTATCACAGTATTGTCTGCTGACTCGTTTTTGGGTATGCCTGGGGTCAGAGCGTGTTTGAGAGCGCATGAATATTTATGGCTACGCTGACAAGGGCTGCTGCAAAATACTTAGGCTTCGGGTGGTTAGTTCGACGTTAGTCTTCCCAAACACAGTGGGTTACTTTTCATTCAAAAGTTTGTTGGGCTGGTCGACTTTCCTGAAGGTTACGGGTGTGTCCCGCTCTGTTTTTTTTTTTTTTTTTTTTTTTTTTTTGGGTGTGGTTTCTACGATATCTTGCATTTACGTTTTCATTCCGAGAAAGAGAATGCCTGTGACAAAGGTTGCAGCACTCTCTAGGGGTGTTGTGTGAGACCCAGTTTTTCCATGTTTTTGGAGTGTTAAAAGCGCTGGCGTGCTGAAATATAAAACACACGATATCGACGGCATTGCGAAACACTCCCGTAACCTTGTGCGAAGGTTGCAGGTCTCAGTAACTACTAATCAGAGCAACTATGTATATGGGCGGGGTCCGGGGAGACTAACGTCGAACTAACCGCCTCAGGTTTATGAAAGATGTGCTGCTTCAAATGTATGGAAAACTGCTAATACAACGGGTATTGCGAGTTAAGCCGTTGGTACAGCTCTGGGCCAGTATACTCGTAAATATTTATGCACACTCACGCCTTTTCTGACCTCTGCCATAAGTAAAGTTTAAAAAAAAATGTAAAGTAAAAGTCCTTTTTCCACGCCTTTATGCGTATTGGGGCTAGATCTATATTTTTTACAGACTAATTGGCACTTGGTGGAGGATGTGGTCAGTATTACGCCAGCCGCCTTTACTTTTCAGGACTACACCTGGTACCCACTCAAGGCTGGGTCGACCTAGAAGTCCAGGTCATTTTTGGAGAGAAAAAAAGTCCGGCTCTGTTAGGACACGAACCCACGACCTTCTGATCCGCAGGCGGGCATCTTGCCACCAACGCCACAGCGGCTCTTCTCTGACATAAGTGCATACCCAAATCAATTAGTACATAAGGTTTGAGGTTTGAAGTTTGAACAAAGGATCAACATCATGGCACACGGATAACCCATAAGTGCTCCGTTCTTCTTCAAACTCAAGTCTGAGTCCGAAGAAGCTCAGCACAGTGCACAGGCTCTGTAGCACCGACGAGGATCCTGAAATACTTTGGGTAGATTTTTAACTCCAAATTTTGCCTCGGCAGCGCCGTTAGGCTGCTCTGTTCGATTTCCAACAGCCAACGGATTTTTTACGTGCGCAATAATGCACACGGGCGTCCGATCTCACTACCTAGAGACTAGGGGTAATTACTAGAAGTCCAAGTCCACGTGAAAAAAAAATCCCAGCCCTTACCGGAACCTTTAGCACTGGAGGCGGACACCATGACTCGAGATCAAGCAGCCCCCAAGTTAGTACACAAAACATAGTTTAATGTTTCAAAAATATTCTGACACTCGATGTCACGGCGGCAAACATTCACTCTTGATCTAGTGGTGATAACTTCTAATCTCTATAGAGCTCATTTGTAAAGTTCACCTGACGTCCTAGGTCGACACGGCCTAAATAGTGTATCGGGAAACTGGCCTTGAAGTAAAGGCGACTGACGTGACTTTGATCACATTACTCATTACTCTACAGATGTGCAAATAAGTTTTGGGGTTAGCGTCAGGAGCCTGAATCGCCTCGTTGCATGTAAACGGATCTGTTTTAATTAGGTCAATTTTGGAAGCATAAATCATAACACTTTGTGAGTGGGTAAATATACATTAAGTAACGGACTATTTTGGAATCAGGCATAAACTAGACTCATTTTAGTAGACTCTACAATTTAGACAAATAGGAACTAGCTGGGGGATGTGGTCAACATAAGGCCAACAGCATATATTTTTCTTGCATCCTTTACCCTCCCTTGGCGTTGTGTCCCTTGCAGTCCTTTCAATATCACGCCCTCTCAACGTTCGTTTTACAATGATACCATTGTCACAAATCTCGCCGTTATTAGTTCTGAACAGCTGGCCAATCAATCAATCAGGTGCCGCCTCCACAGTAAAGGTTGGATGCAATAGGTTTCCAACACGCTCTGTCTTTTGTCCTGGTTGTTCACTCTCTCCGACTGCTGCTGTCCTTCCATTTCTTGCTCTTTATTACTTTCAGTAATTATTTTTTGTCTGCCAGTGCTCACTTTCATACATAGTGAGGTCATAGTCTCTTCCAAAATGGCAAGCTGTGTTTTCTATTGCGTCCTGAAGACACCTCTTGTGTATCATGCACTGATCTGGGTGCACCAGGGTAGACTTGAAATAACGGAAACTGGTGCCCTATATAACTTCCTAGGGGGCTGAACCGGATATCTTGGATTTGATCTGCTAGACAGGTTTATCTTCAGAACACCCAATCAGTGTTACACTTGACATCCAGTACCATACAATTACTGTAGTTTACCTTCAGTAGACCCATAAAGTTGTTATTTCTCATCTTGATGGCACTCACAAAATTATAATCGCTTACCTTCAGTGCACCCATAAAGTTTTTATAACGCATCTTGATGGCACTCGCAAAATTATAATAGCTTACCTTCATTGCACGCATAAAGTTGTTATATCTCATACTGATGACACTCATACAATTATAATAGCTTACCTTCAGTGCACCAATAAAGTTTTTATATCTCATCTCCATGACACTCATACAATTATAAAAGCTTACCTTCAGTGCACCCATAAGGTTGTTTAATCTCATCTTGAGTGCACTCATAAATTATAATAGCTTACCTTCAGTGCATTCATAGAATTATAATAGCTTACCTTCAGTGCATTCATAGAATTATAATAGCTTATTATTTTTAGTGCTCCCATAAGGTTATTATGTCTCATCTTGAAAGCACTGATAAAATTATAATAGCTTACCTTTAGTGCACTTATAGAAATTTAATAGCTTACCTTCACGGCACTCATAGAGATATAGTATCTTATCTTCAGTGCACTCACATAATTATAATAGCTTACTGTCGGTGCACAAATACAATATAAAAACTTATCGCCAGTGCACCAATACAGTTGGTCTAGTTGACCTTCTAATTCCCCATATAGTTGTATCCTATCTTAAGTGTACTCATACAATTATAATAGCTTACCTTCAGTGCACCCAAATAATTATTTAGGTGGCCTGCAGTGCACCAACATATTTGTTATATCTTGGGTGCACTCATTTAATTATTGTAGCTCATCATCAGTGCACTCATATAGTTGATATATCCTATCTTGTGTACACTCATACAGTTGTTACAGCTTGCCCTTAGTGCACCCATGTAACTTTTGTAGCTTACACTCAGTGCACCCATATAGTTTTTATATACTATCCAGGGTACACTCATAAAATTATTACAGCTTACCCTCAGTGCACCCATATAGTTGTCAAATCCTATCTTGGGTGCACTCACACAATTAATAGCGCTTACCGTTAGTGCGTCCATAAAACTGTTGTAGCTTACCTGCATATATTTGTTATATCCCACCTTGAGTGCGCCCACATAAATAAAATAACTTACCTTCCGTGCACCCATACAGTCTCTGTATCTTCAAGACATCAGATTTGGACAGCGCTAGTCTCTGGCCCATCTTGAGGCTGTGGGCCAGGCCAGACTTGGGAGTGACGGTGGGAATGCTTCTGTCGATGCTAAACTCGTAGGGTCCATAATGCATGATGGACCCAAAGTCGTAGGCGACGTTTTGGTTGTTGCTGGTTGTGGTCGACAGTATGGTGTAGTCGTGATGATTGTCTGCGGATTGAATGTTTGCTAGCCTCTTTAGTGAGCGGTTGTGCTGGTAGTGAGGGGGGGGGGGGGTAGTGGTGGCGTTGTTAGTAGTAGTAGTAGTAGTAGTAGCAGCAGTAGTATTAGTAGTAGTAGTAGTAGTGGTGGTAGGTGTATCAGCAGTAGCAATAGTAGCAGCAGCAGTAAAATTAGCAGAAAAAATAGTAGCTGCGGCAGCAGCATCAGTAGAATTAGCAGCAGCAGCAGCAATAGCAGTAGTAGAAGTAGTATTAGATGAAGGTGTTAGTAGTAGTTAATATAGTGGTAGTTGTATTGGTAGTAGTTTAAGTTGTAACCGTAGTAGATGGAGTTAATATTTGTTGTAATGGTAATTGTTGATTTTGTGGTTATTGTTGCTGTTGTTGCTGTGATAGTAGTAGTGGTATAAGTGTAGTAGCAGCAGTGGTAGTGATGGATGGTGGTAATAGTACTTGATGTGATAGTAACAGTGGTAGTCGTAGCAGCAGGGGTACTTTTAGTAGCAGAAGTAGTAGTAGTAGTAGTAGCAGCAGCAGCAGCAGTAGTAGTAGTAGTAGTAGTAGTAGTAGTAGTAGTAGTAGTAGTAGTAGTAGTAGTAGTAGTAGTAGTAGTAGTAGTAGTACTAGTAGTAGTAGTGGCAGTTGGTGTTATTGTTGTCGTTGTTGCTGTTGTTGTTGTCGTCATTGTAGTTATGGTTGGTACTGCTGCTGTTGTTGGAGTAGTACCGGTAGCTATAACAATAAAAACAAAAACAATTGGCACTCCGATCAGCCTAACTAAAAAATGTGTACCAAAAGCTTTGGGAAGTAAAGACTGCTGGCGGTATATTTATCAGTAGCATTCTGTTATATTTATGGTCTGGTTTATTTGTGCCAAATTTGTTGGCTGAGATTGGGTTATGTGTGCAAGGTTGATGGCTTTGTGTCCCTAACCGGACCAATTGTCCATTCATACTTGTCTGGGTCCCTTGAGGCCCTGCTATCTTCCTGGTGGTTTTGCCTCTTGTCTTGACGGTGATAGGTATGCGTGTGTTGTCTTCTATCCCGTTGAGTCCCCTTATATTATTTTGTCTGTGTTCCATATTATATTGTTAAAACGGTAGGGGTTTCACGACTTTGTATTGCTTAAGACAGTGGCTCTTAACTTTCCTAATGCCGCGACCATTTAATACAGTTCCATAATGTTGTGGCGACCTCCAAACAATTATTTTCCTTCAAAACTTCAACGAATATATGTTTTCCGATGGTCTTAGGTGAACCCTGAGAAAGGGTCTTTCGACCCTAAAAAGAGTCTCAGGTTGGGAACTGCTGGCTTACAGCATTATCAAATCTAAATGTGGCACTGATCTCCAACATATTCGTGTCTCGTGTGTCATCATCATCATCATGTAGCAGGTCCTTTGCAGAACGTCGCTCTCATCACGGTATGCCTGAAAGTTCTGTGTGTGCGTATCGTTAATATTCATTAGAGTTTCTTCAGTGACGTTCACCCTGCACAGGGAGAAATATGTTCATTTTGGTGCTTAGAAGAGTGGCTGGCCGAACGGTTAGAACAGTGGGCTCTCAAGCGGGAGACCCGATTTAGAATCCTCGGTAAGGCTGGGTATTTTTTCTCTCGGGGGCAAAATAAAATCTTCACCTGCACAGTCGTGGTGACAGCACTAGCTATGCAGCCATAAACCCTCAGACTCAAAGATATAATCGACTTGGATGTGGCCGGAGTTTATATTCTTTCCACGTCTAGTTAGTATTCGTACAGAATAGTAAACATTCAAAAACATTTTATGTTTAGCATCCTTCAGTCGTCTGTGGTAAATAATAACTAGGAATGAAAGAATCCTAAGTATTATAACAAGTAACGAAACTTGTAAATTGTCACTGACAGCTTAGTTAATGCATGAAAGCTGCATTGCCTTCAACAAAAGCAATCGTTCCATGTCGTCAGCATTAAGGTCGTGGATGCAGAAGCGGATGTAAAGTAACTACTATTCGTATTCGGCCCGACCGCAACTATTCGTCCGAATACCGAATACTCAATATGTCTACTATTCGGCCCCGAAGCGAATACGAAGCGAATATTAGGTACAGCCCTAGTATAAACATACACTTAAAAAATAAAACCGGAATGCATGGTTTGAGTTGAGTTGAGTCAAGAATTGACATCACAGCACTCGGGGTATTCCCATGCGTGCTCCGTCCTTATCTTCAGCAGCCAGAGCAGAGTTCCAATCCTAATGGTACCGGTCGTAATCTGATTATATGTCCGTTTTGCCTTACCCCTGAGTGTAGTTAGCCGGCCAGATCCCCCAGTTACATCCAGGTTCCTCATTCTCTCCGGGCCACAATAATCTTGTTTCGCTTCTGGCTCCGATGCTTGTTCCTAAAGGGCCCTGGCCACATCTGCCTTGTCATGCATCAGTTTACCACTCAGTGGTGCAGATCCAGTCAATCGGTCTGCCTGTTCATTCCTCTGCACGCCAGCATGGCCTGAAGAAAAGATCCAAAGTATACTCACTACCCGTGACGTATGGATGGTTGAGTGAGCACATAGTCTCCCTGTACATGCTATGAGCTGGATTGGTTCTCAGCCCCTACCCCTTAACAAAATACTGTATTTTTAATATTATTTTTAAAAATCGGTTGGAGGGGGCGGGGGTGGGGGGGGGGGAGAGCTCTCAGACTCCTAAAAATTGGAAGGAGAGGTCTCAAAAGTCCTGGCTCAGATGACCACAGGCAACTTACCAGCTTCCACGTTAGTGAGGTTAATAGTCACGTAACTGTTTCTATCAGAACGACTCTGTTCGTGCCAGAAGCCAATAGAATGTATCAGCTCGTGCATCATGATACCTTTGGCATCGCATCCTTGACCAAGTGAAACCGTTTGTCTGCCCTTATCAGCCATCCCAACAGTCGAATGGCAGCTGTGGATGCAGAGAGTGTCAGGTGACTAGAGCAAGAGAATAAGAATATAAATCAACCTGTCCGTCCACAGACAAAAAGGGAAATAAATGGATGGCAGAATCATTCAAGTGCAACGTTTAGTTAGATAGAAGTATGCAAATGTCAAAGACATGACGAATACTTTAAGTAATGTAGTAAAAGACTATTTTCACGACTGACGTGTCAGGTATGTGGATATAGAATTGACCAAACAATTATGATTTGCGTAGGTCACACATTGTGAAAATCAGATAACAATAAAACTAAACTAGTTTTGCACTTGAACCTACAGGGTCAAAAGAACATAGGCAGAAGGAAAAAAAAACCAGTGAGGCGGATAGAGAGAGGGGCATGCAAAAGATGGGGGAAATAGGATTGGATGCACGCAGTAGCAGGAGTTAGGACAACTTGGCATGAGCTGATCAGTCTTTTGCTCCACGGGGCGATAAAGTCACCCAGAGACAGCATATTTTGTTTTTAAACAATAAAGAACAATTCCGTCGACTCTAAATTGTAAAAGTATTCGGGAGCCGCGATAAAGCAGTGGCTAGATGCTTGTCTGTTGAGCTAAAGGAAAGTTAGAATCCGTAGGACAGGATTTTATTATCGATTTAGGGCTCTCCTGCTGATTCAGTCTTGAACTGCAGTAGAGCCAGATTTGCAGTGCCAACTAAAGGCGATGAGCGTGAGGCTGACCACATTAGCCATCGAGTGTTGATTGGTCAATAAATACGTTAGTCTAGCACCATATACCATATGCGCAAGGGTTCGAATATGATCTTTTACTAAATTACTAAATGTATTCGTCATGTCATTTTTTTTTTTTTTTTTTTTTTTTTTTGGAAATAAGTTAGATGTAGGTTATGTGAACATCAGATCAGACAGGTTCCACTGTCGGAACCAATACAAGGTGGTCTGCTGCAGATTGGATTGAACCCGGCACCTTGGAATTACAAAGCTCGCTTACAACGCCTAATCCACATTCCCCGACTGTTTTGTGTGCTTTTCTTTTTAGGACTTCACAAACTAGCACTTACTGGTTATGTGATTTCGTTAGGTAATTTTATGTTCAGTAGTTTGACCAGTCGGCAGGGCACGTACTGATGATGATGATGATGATGATGACGATGACGATGATGATGAGGATGATGCGTTTGTCCCTGCCTTACGTATTTTACGAATGTCAAAGGGTAGTTAAAAAAAATCAATGCGAAGTGATCTGCTTCCATACTGCATGTCGGTATTTTGGGATTCAGAGATCAGGAAGCAATTGAAATAGTATATTTAATACATTTGCAGGCAATGACAGGCATTCTTTCTTCTTCTTCCTCTTCTTCTTCAGCATTCCAAGTCCTCAAAGTTTATTGATGCAGATATCACCCGCCTTCATTCATCTCTCTGGCTGACCTTCTCTTTCCAGCTGGTAACACCAAGTTTTGTCTTGTCTGTCTAGACATTACCTCTCCATCGTCTTCTTGGTCTGCCTCGTGGTCCAAAGATTCGTCGTAAGACTGTTTTCAAAACTGTTTAATGGGACCTCATCTCCTTTAGTTGTGCTTCAAGTTTCACAGTCATATAAAATGACTTGTCTTATCAACGTTTTATATATTTTGATCTTGTTGTTGCGAGAAAGACACTTTGACTTTAGCAAATGTTGAAGGGCATAATAACTTTATTTCCAGATTGTATTCTAGATTGTATTTCTTCTCTCAGCATGTTGGAGCAGTTGAAATTTGCACCCAAGTACTTATATGTTTACTTATTTTGTTACTTTTTTTTTACATTCATAGAAGCCGTAAATATAAATAACCATTTAAACGCACAAGGCTTATCCGGTAAATAATGCCAGACCGAGTGATTTGTTTCCCTCCTAGAAAAAAAGGAGGCGGTGGAGGGGGGGGGGGGGGGCGATACTTACACAAAGTGTCTATTACAAAACGATGAAAAACAAATGATGTCTTTAAAAATAAGGTGCCTGTCCTGCATATTGCCAGAAAGAAAGAAAAAACAAGCACTGGTTAGATCGATGTTTCTATAGATCAATCAACACGTGATGTGTGACGTGGTGATCATCACGCCGGCTGCCTTTCTTTCCAGGACACTCCTGGTATCCATTATAGGCTGGGTCCAGCTGGTGACTGGGGTCTTTTTACAGATTTGAACGTAATGCCCCTGGGTCTGCATTGAAAGGGAGAACAGACATTTATATGTCTTGTGTGTTTTCTAATCTGTGTTTCTTTCCTCTGTTTTTATGTCTTGCGTCTTTTCAAATCTGTGTCATATATAACTATATATATAAAGCGTGTTCTAATCTCTGTTTTGTGTGAACATAGAAAAGTAGAGAATGACAGAGGCTGCATATCCTGGTCGAGCAGCCGTGGGCATCGCCTGAAGACCCACGATATTTCGTGTGGAGATCCCGGGAAAGTCCAATAGTATCAGAATGTTAGGATGTGAAATAAACACCAATTAATACTACTCCCCAAGACGAGGTGAACCAAAAGAAAAGTACCCTTTCACTGACTTACATACCCGGTTCCAGGATAGACGTCGATGTAGTTTGTCTGTGTTGTTCTGGGCACGAATTTGATGCATGCAGAACCCGAAGGGTTGTTGACGTCATGTTCTATCTCTCTCATGGCAGTGATGATCTTGCCATGAATCTCTGAGGCTGTCGATCAAAGAACTTATTCTATGAGCTTTTTGGCTGTAAACTCCGGCGGAAAGCTCTGGATGTTTGACCACTTCTGGACTGTACTCTTATTCCAAAACGTGAGTGTTGCCTGTATGTCTTTTTTTACAGATCGGGCCTATTTGGTTTCTTGCCTCTCCGGCAGATGCACTCCGACTTCGAAGGAACAAAATAACTAAGCAACTAAGTCTTCTTCTTCTTCTTTTTATTTTTCTTCTTCTTCTTCTTCTTCTTCTTCTTCTTCTTCTTCTTCTCTTCTTCTTCTTCTTCTTCTTCTTCTTCTTCTTCTTCTTCTTCTTCTTCTTCTTTTTCTTTTTCTTCTTCTTCTTCTTCTTCTTCTTCTTCTTCTTCTTCTTCAGATTCTTTCTTCTTCTTCTTCTTCTTCTTCTTCTTCTTCTTCTCTTCTTCTTCTTCTTCTTCTTCTTCTTCTTCTTCTTTTCTTCTTATTTTCTTTTTATTTTCTTCTTCTTCTTCTTCTTCTTCTTCTTCTTCTTCTTCTTCTTCTTCTTCTTCTTCTTCTTCTTCTTCTTCTTCTTCTTCTTCTTCTTCTTCTTCTTCTTCTTCTTCTTCTTCTTCTTTTTTATCTTCTTCTTCTTCTTCTTCTTCTCTTCTTCTTGTTCTTGTTCTTCTTGTTCTTGTTCTTCTTCTTCTTCTTCTTCTTCTTCTTCTTCTTCTTCTTCTTCTTCTTCTTCTTCTTCTTCTTCTTCTTTCTTCTTCTTCTTCTTCTTCTTCTTCTTCTTCTTCTTCTTCTTCTTCTTCTTTCTTCTTCTTCTTCTTCTTTTCTTCTTCTTCTCTTCTTCTTCTTCTTTTTTTTCTTCTTCTTCTTCTTCTTCTTCTTCTTCTTCTTCTTCTTCTTCTTCTTCTTCTTCTTCTTCTTCTTCTTCTTCTTCTTCTTCTTCTTCTTCTTCTTCTTTTTATTTTTTCTTCTTCTTCTTCTTCTTCTTCTTCTTCTTCTTCTTCTTCTTCTTCTTGTTCTTGTTCTTCTTGTTCTTGTTCTTCTTCTTCTTCTTCTTCTTCTTCTTCTTCTTCTTCTTCTTCTTCTTCTTCTTCTTCTTCTTCTTCTTCTTCCTCTTCTTCTTCTTCTTTCTAGTTCGTTAGTCATAAAAGGTTAACGCTTTGCGGTCTACAGCCTATATCTCGTTTATACTTAGTCAAATCTTACTACTTGCTTGTTAGTGTCTATTATATTTTTATCAATCTAAAAGGAGTTCCAGAAAGCACTCGGAGAGTATGCTGTGATATACAGAAGAACATATTTCGGTGTGGGGGTGAGGAAGGGTTGATTGGAAAGAATGCAGAAGCTCTGTTGAGGCCGATGATTACAAGAGAGCTGTTTGAAGAATGACAAAAAGAGACAAATGAAATAATTTGGCCACATGAAATGTCATAACACTCTTTTAATATTATTCTAGAAAAACTGTAAAAAATTTGGGGGACGAGGGGGGGGGGGGGCGGGAACTTTCTTATTATTCTTTTTTCTTTATCTCTATCTCTAGCACAGGTGCTCGACCAACACAATGATTCGCCACTATCTCTTCTTATCAAGTGAAGCTGACCCCATGCGTAGTTAGTTGATTTTTGTGGCTATAATTTTTACGATAGCCAGCCTGAAGCTAAACCTTCTCTTGGTCGCCTCTTGCTATATGTCTTGTAGCTCACATTTTACTGTGTGTGTATGCGCGCACGCGTGTGTGTGGTTTTTCTAAGGGTCCCAGCAACACGCTGATGACTGTGATCTTCGCCTCTTTACCTTAGTGAGTCATAAATATGGCTACGTGTTTCATAGCCTATGTTTACTCACATGATACATTTTATACGCAGAAATGAACCCACCAGAAAGACAATTTTTCAGATTAACAATTCAGAGCAATCTTCTTCTTCTTCTTCTTCTTCTTCTTCTTCTTCTTCTTCTTCTTCTTCTTCTTCTTCTTCTTCTTCTTCTTCTTCTTCTTCTTCTTCTTCTTCTTCTTCTTCTTCTCTTCCACCTTGTACCTCATCGAAGTGTCAGGGGAAGATATAACATTCGTTGATGAGCTCTGTCAAGAACACTACTAAGACTGGTGTTCATTTCTGTAAGGCTGTTTTTAATGCCGTCACTCCATTTTTTCCGACGTCTTCCACTCGCTCTATACCCGTTGTAACTTTTAATAAAAGCAAGAAGACAAAGTTCTTTGGTCATGTGACCAAAGGAGCTGGGGAAAATATCGTGACGGCTGGAAAGATCACTGGTAGAAGGGTAGAAGAGGCAGAGGCAGACCAAGAGAAACAATGGTGGATGGTTTAAGACAGTGCCATGGGGAATATCATCAGTGGAAGTGATCCAGAACACCAAAGACCGAGATCTGTGGAGACGCATGAACGCCTACGCCAGCTGGCAAGGCACTTGATGATGAAGAATCACAGTAAAATCAGCAACGCTTTGGAAGTCATTTATTGCTTGTCGATGAGTGTTTATTTATTTATTTATTTATTTATTTATTTATTTATCTTGTATGTCGTATGTACTTACAAAACGAACTGTTAATGACGTAAGGGATCTGTCCGCTGTGCCAACGTTTGTCCCCCAAGACCGCGTTACGGTGCTGTAGGTATGAATGGTAGAAATGATTGATACGGTAAAGACACAACACGGAGAGATGAAATCGCTAGAGACTAACGTGATTCCGTTGTTTGTACATGTCGGTGGGCATTGACTGTCATTGAATAATGATAGTATTAAGTAACAAGTTAAGGATCTTGAGGTGTGTATGAAAGAGAGAGAGAGAGAGAGAGGGAGAGGCGGGAGAGAAGAGAAGAGAGAGGAAAGAAAGGGTAAGGAAAGATGACACATAAAAGACATATCAAAAACCATGTTCGACAATAATATGTTGTTAGAGTCATATCATCATTATCATGCAGCAGGTCCTTTGCAAGACGTCCCTCTCATCACGGTCTGCCTGGGGGGAAAAAACTCGGTCTCTCGCCAGCTCTCCCACCTCGTGTACTTTCCTACTCAAGGAGTCACTTATATCCTATGCCCATCTTCGTGTTGGTCGGCCCCTGCCCCTCCTTCCTGGTACCATACCTTCGGCTATTATGTTTTTCCAACACACCATGTCGCTTGATATGACCACAATATTTTCAGCTTCCCAGACAGAATGCTGTTCAGAACTTTTAAAATGTCAGTATTTCTGCTCTTCTTTGTCCATGGTATAGTCATATACTAAAGTAAAATTTCTTTTAAGGATATCAAACAGGACCATTTCTACAATATGAAAATAACATACAATGGCAAATCAGAAATGTTACATCCTAATGCACATTTCCTACATATAATTACTGGTCACAGGAGAGGCCGACCTGGATTGAGTGACGAGAAACTATTGTTACTGACTTCGCTCCTACTGTTACTGACTTCGCTCCTACTGTTACTGACTTCGCTCCTATCCTTCTACTCTTTACCCACTCCTTTGATCGCTAATGCTAGCTGGTTATGCACTTGATGTTGATGTTGATAATGAGAAAGGTTTTCTCTCTCTCTCTCTCTCTCTCTCTCTCTCTCTCTCTCTCTCTCTCTCTCTCTCTCTCTCGATGTTCCCCACCAGGACATTACACAAAGCGATAAACACCCGGTGACACAAAGGGCGATTTTCCCTGTTTGGGGTAGGATCATTAAAAAAGACAAATCAATATCTATGTCAAGTTAACTAGCCTTCCCTTGACCTAGTTTATAAACTTTTTTCAGATTTAATTTTTCATCCATTGGCACTGATATATCTACGTCATAACTTCGCCAAACCACCGGCAGTATTTACAACCTATAGCGCCCCCTTGAAATGCTAATTTATTAGTATCTATCTATAATTTATATTTATCTAGCCCCCATCACCCAAGACAATCAATACCCTTTCGCGCCCTCCTAACTTGACCTTGACGCGTCTCTTGACGTATATATCTATTTTCCTTCCTCATCTTTCTTCTTCTTCTTCTTTGCGTTTTTTTTTTTTTTTTTACAGTTCCGGGTGTCGAGAGAGATACAAGGTCCTGTTTCGTGCTCTTCTGGCTGCTTCGACCATAAACACATCGTGGTACTGTAGACTTTCTCTGATGTTATCTTTCCATATTGCGCTTGGTCTACCTCTTGTTCTACGTCCCTCTCCTCTTTTGGTATCTGCCTTGTATGGTATAGCATCAGAAGACATTCTCTTCAAGTGGGCAAATCATTTGATTTGCTGTCTTTGTATGTAATTTAGAACTGGTTGTGTGCCGACTTTATCTCGTATGACCTCATTTCTGATTTTACCTCTTCTGGTCACTCCTACAGTCTTTCTCAGACACCTCGTTTCCATGGTTACTAATTTTCTTTTATGTTGTGAGTTACCATGTCTGACACTGGTAGCAAGGGTGAGAAGGAATTTGCTTTGTTTGGGGTGTCTCTTTGTGCTGATTGGGATTGCCTCATGCTGTAAGGGAGAAGGGGGCGGGGGATAGCTGTCCCAGTACTAGGCCTGCTTTACTGCTTCAGATGTTAATTTCTTCGTCCAATTTACCATCTTTGGTGAATGTTGTTCCAAGATATTTAAACTTAGATGCCATTCTTTTTATATCTCATTGTACTTGTTGTAGCGGTATTAAATCCATTGCCTATTTGCGAGGCTTGTCGCAGCCTAATCTTTGCTCCGTCATAACTCTTTTATAGTTCCACCAGTATTTTCTTATATAATCTACACAGCCAGTGGGAAAATAATAGTTTTTGGCTTCATATCCGACTCAGATATTTCAATTCGAGGTTGACTGGCATTAAAACACAGTAATAACTGACCATAGGGAGTCACCGTGGCGTTAGCAGCCAGATGCCCGCCTGCGGATCTTAAAGTTTTGGGTTCGCATTCTGACGGAGCCAGAGTTTAACTCCCAGGTCGACCGAGCCCTAAGTGGGTACCAGGAAAAGGGACCTTCACCTTTTAATTACTGTCTATATTTTGACGTTTTTTTTTTTAGAACGTTTTGGAACGGAAGTGGGGGGGGGGGGGGTAATCTGAGCTTGAGAAGTTATGCCCGCTTAAAAAATTATATTGGCCACAAACTGTGCAAGATGAAGTGTTCATTTTTGCTCCCTGCAGAAACAAAAGCCACATCCGGCTGTCTGACATGCGGGAAATGCGCTACAAGAGATGACGTGGCTTATTTATGTACCAACTGGTGGTTCGCTGCTTCTTTAAAAGACGCGCTTCCATTTAAGAGGAAATGCCAATCCTATCTACTTTGACCAGGCCTGTGAAAGCTGTTTCGGGATTTCTGACGTGGAGATATAGATAGGCCTTGGCAACTGACACCTTTATCAGTAATACACCACCGTAGTCGGTGTTGCGCCTCTAATGCAATCGCATCCTAATTAGGTTCACTGACTTACGTGAACAATTCTGCACTATTATGTCGTTGGTGTCATACAGGTGGCAACGAGCCGCCAGACACTGAAAGTTTTGACATCTGCTCTAGACGCCGCCCTAGGCTCAAGATAAAACACTAACTAACTAACTAACTAACAACTAACTAACTAATTAACTAACTAACTAACTATGTCGGTAATCAAGGTTACAGCTTAACTGCAGACGGGTCAACTCCGTGACTGCTCCATTCCTGTGGCAGTGGAAATCGCATAAAATTTCCTTTACTGTCCTTTTAAAAAAAAAAAACTAAGAAACCGCATATCAATCCTGGTAATATCTTGAAGCGCGCACACGAAAAGTAATTGCATTAGGCTGCTGTAAAATTTGCCAACACTAACGGTCTCCGCCCATAATTGCACCCCAGTGTTGATGCAATCTGTAAATTACGAAAGTAGACATTTACCCACACAGAGTGCTGCATTTGTACCTGCTACACCGAAAGTAATCGACCGTCTGTCATTTTTAGTGGGCGCCACCATACAAAACCGCCGCGAGCACACTAGACCCAAAAAAATTCTACATTCATTCAATTCACACCTCATAGTGTCGCTCCAAGCACCCAACTCAGTAGATGGGCAATAGTTTACAATAGTGTGTATTGGTATAAGTTCATAATGCAGTCGTTACTTACCACATCCATCTGAACATCCCCGATAATTACAGCTTCAGGCTCAAAGGCTTTAGCAGCAGTTACTGGGTCTGGAATGACAGTAAGTAAACGGTAAGGGATTCTTATTGTGCCATTGGCGCATCAAATACATGGTTAGTTTCGAATCCTTTACAGGAAGTTGCAACCCCATCATTTTGTTGGCGGTGGTTTAAGTAGGCAATGTTACATACAGTAAGTAGTTCGACATTACCTCTAAATGGTGGACGCTCCGTGACATTTTCGCAATTAGCACAAACCGGGCTCGGCCCTAATGAAACAAATAGTGCTATATCCACATTGTTATCGCCCAATCAGGACTCGATTGGGCTATGTGCTTACATTTTTCATTGTTCAATATAACATTGTAGTAGTAGTAGTAGTAGTAGTAGTAGTAGTAGTAGTAGTAGTAGTAGTAGTAGTAGTAGTAGTAGCAGCAGTAGCAGCAGCAGCATCAGCATCAGCAGCAGCAGCAGCATCATCAGCAGTAATAGTAGTAGTAGTCGTAGTAGTAGTAGTAGTAGTAGTAGTAGTAGTAGTAGTAGTAGTAGTAGTAGTAGTAGTAGTAGTAGTAGTAGTAGTAGTAGTAGTAGTAGTAGTAGTAGTAGTAGTAGTAGTAGTAGTAGTAGTAGTAGTAGTAGTAGGAGGAGGAGGAGGAGGGACCCCACCATATGTTTAGACCACACGTCATTAAATGGATGACCTGGCCAATGACACAACCATCGCGTCTATTTTCCAGAAAGTTCCTGGTATCTTTTATGGCGTATATCGATCTAGTCGACAAGATTCGAACAACGCCTTCTCCAGACAGCTGGAAAAAGCCATGATTCTTATATATGACAACTCAGCCACTAGACCAGGCCACTGCACTAGGTGGCTGCCATGTAAGTTAACTGATAAATTAAATCCGCAATAACCCCATGATCTATAACACATAAGCTAGAGACTTTTCAGAACTATGGCTTATACAGGCAATGAGTAACTTCCATTGCTTTGCTTTTGTACAGACGGATAAGGATTTTTATAAATATCTTTTAAAAAAATATCTCGTAAAGGATAAAATGAAATCCATCATGTTACAGGTGTGCAGAAACATCGCTTCATGACAGTTTGCCTGAAAGCTGTATTCGGGCACCTGCCTCTTTCAAAACTATTGTTTGTGGATAATCTTGCAAATATTTTGATCAAAGTAACTAAAAATTGCATCCCACGTGGGGACGATGATAGCTATATGTGTGCATGAAAGTGCAGTACCTTCCTAACAAATTGAATGTTTGCTTTACCAGTGGCAAATTGTAACATACATTTACAGTTGCGGGAAAAGAGAGGGGGGGGGGGGGGGGGCGAACATGGAGTGGCGAACATTCTTAATCGTTTATGTGATTTGTCTGGAACTTGTTAGAAGCACCAATAATCGCTTAGTTCAGAGAGTAAAAGCTTCAGGAAGTTGAGAGACGGATCTCAGGATGCTTTGCAGGATTTTCTGCGTAAACGTGTGGGGGGGGGGGGGGGGCTTATACAGGCAATGAGTAACTGCCCTTGTTTTGCTTTTGTACAGACGGATAAGGATTTTATAAATATCTTTAAAAAAAATATTATGCGTAAAGGATAAAATGAGTTATCCATCATGTAGCAGGTCCTTTGCAGAACATCGCTCTCATCACAGTTTGCCTGAAAGAAACTCGGTCTCTCGCCAGTTCTCCCACCTCATGTACTTTCATACTCAAATATTCACTTATATCTTGTGCCCATCTTCGTGTCGGTCGGCCCCTGCCCCTCCTTCTGCTATAATTTGTTCCAATCCGTCCTGGCGCTTGATATGACCAAAATATTTCAGCTTTCGAGACAGGATGCTGTTAATTAGCCAATCTTCCTTGATCTTCAGATCTTTCAATATGTCAGTATGTCTCCTTTTCTTTGTCCGAGATATTATGAGAATCTTTTTATAGCAAAAATGATGAAAATGATATATATGATAGCAAAATGAGTCATACTGTCGGTAAATTTCGTATTTTGTGCATGTAAAATGAAGAGGGAAATGTGGAAACCCTCTTACATTCACTTACAAATAATTAAGCAATTAATTATTCATTACAGTCGCTTTTTTTTTCGCCCAGAAAAAAAATAGAAACTTACCTGCATCGATGACACTGACCTGTGGAGAAATATGTAGAGTATTTTAATGTAATGTTAATAGTAGCAACTCCACAATTTATGAATAATGTTAACCGAGTAAAAAGAGAAAAAGTGTCATGTTGTATATAATGTGGTTCTATCCGTCGATATCCCATTCACGCCTTGCTGACTAAAAGGAAAAAACAAGCGATCTAAACTGATGCCGGTTTGTTGCTTTTCTGCCTCTGGTATCTCATGTTATTCTGCATTCGGTTCGTAATTAATATCTTACTTCAGATGACGTCACAGGACAGCCCAACATTTTAGAGGAGGGTAAGACTGGGTTTCCCAGTTTTCTGATGCTTCTAACGATTAAAAAACAGCTAGAACTGACCCTAACCCCAACGCATCTACGTCCCACGAGAGAGTGCAGCCTAGGTCCTACGACTAGACGCAGCCTAGGTCCCACGACTGCAAGCAGCCTATCTAAAACCCCCTGAAATATTAGACTTCCCGTGACCTGTGAATTTCACCCTCTTTGGGTGGGATAATAATAAAGCACCCTGCATTCCTTTAATGTTCTTTCTACTGTTCTTCTCTGAGTTTCCCCGATGTCTACTGGAGAGCAACCCTTGCCATAGTGTCACAAGGCATTCTGTAAATATGTCTAAGCCATTTCCTTCTTATTCCGTTGATAACTTTAAGTCAGTCATTCAGTCAGTAGCATGTCCTTTGCAGAACCTTGCTCCCATAACAACCCTCAGGAAAACTTCTCGATCACAAGTAAGATGTTCCGTGCCCTATACACCCATCCAGAGCTCATCCGCCAAATCCTGCACCCATCTTCTCTTTGGCCTTCCTCTTTCTCTCTTCCCAGGCACATTCCCCTCCATTATCGTTCTCTCCAAACTTTCGGGATGTTTCAAGTGACCATAATATTTCAGTTTTCTGTGTTTTATCTTATTTAACAGCCAACCTTCTTCAATATTCAGTTCTTGAAGAATTTATGCATTTGTTCTTTTCTTTATCAATGATATTGTTAGAACCCCTCTAAAAAATGTGTATTCAAGGGCATTTTTGCGCTGTTCAGTTTGTTTAGTAAGTTTCAAGGTCTCACAGACGTATGTTCCAATAGGAAAGATGAATGCTTTTAGAAATCTAATTTTTGTAGATCTGTCTGTCCCACTCCATAATTTATTCAGTTGCTTTAGTCTTTGAAGAGCAACTGATAGTCGTCGTTAAATTTCTTTCATTGTGTCACCATTGCTGGTAATCAATGACCCAAGATATCCAAATGTTTCCACAACCTCCAATCTTTAGATGGTCCCCACGTGGAACGCAATTTTTCCGGTGTGTTTTTTTTTTTTTTTTTTTTTTTGAGTTTTTTTCTTTTTTTTTTCTTGGGGGGGGGGGGGGGGGAGGGGGGACTCCACCCTGGTTCTTGTCAGGGTCTGCAATTAGCCTGACGGTTAAACGCGGTTTCTGAGACCTTTCCACGGGCGATCCTCATCGGCGTGGTGGCACTTTGTGTCACCGGGTGTTTATCACTCTGTGTGATGTCCTGGTGGGGTAAAACTTACTCTATTACCCCCAATCTTTTCTTATTAACATATATTTTTTTTATAACATTTTCAAATGATGATAATTGTGTTTGCCTCCTCTTAAGGGAAAACAAATCTTGTTTAGCCAAAATATTTGCAAGATTATCCAAAGACAAAAGTTTTGAAAAGTCACTAGTGTATGCGTTGTAGATCATGATGTTTTTGCTGATTTAATTTATTAGTTAGCTTACATGGCAGCCACCTATTGCAGTGGCCTGGCCTAGTGGCTGAGTTGTCATGTATTCGAATCATGGTTTTTTCCAACTGTCTGGAGAAAGCGTTGTTCGAATTTTGTCGACCAGGTCGATGTACGCCATAATAGATACCAGGAACTTTCTGACAAATAGACGCGGTGCTTGCGTCATTGACCAGATCATCCATTTAGTTACGACTGGTGGTGGTACTACTACTACTACTGCTGCTGCTACTACTAATATTACTGCTGCTACGACTACTGCTGCTACTACTACTACTACTACTACTACTACTACTACTAATACTACTACTACTACTACTACTAATACTACTATTACTACTACTACTAATACTACTACGACTACTACTACTACTACTACTACTACTACTACAACTACTACTACTACTACTACTACTACTACTGTTACTTCTTCTTCTTTGTTGTCGTCGTCTTCTCCTTCTCCTCCCATTATTTTCTTTTTCTGTTTATTCTTCTTTCCCCTCCTCCGTTGATTTCTTGGTTCTCACCAACCCTCCCCCCCCCCCCCCCCCCTTCCTTCTTCTTCACCCCCCCCCCCCCCCAACCCTTTTATCTGCTGCTTTTGCTTCATTGTATCGCTCTCATATATCTATATTAGGGCTGTACCGAATATTCGCTTCGTATTCGCTTCGGGGCCGAATAGTGGACCTATTGACTATTCGGTATTGGCCGAATAGTTGCAGTCGGGCCGAATACGAATAGTACTTACCTTACATCCGCTCTGCTTCTTCTTCTTCTTCTGCGTTCGACATCAGTCATGCTACACATTGAGTCCCGTCTGGGTCAAAAATAGGATTGTGCGTTTAAGGTCGCCACCGGTCCCCCATAGCTTCTCTCGCAATGTGGATCCCCTGAAATCCGCTCTGCATACACGGCCTTAATGCTGACAACATGGAACGATTGGTTTTGTTGAAAGCTAATGCAGCTTTCCTGTATTAACTAAGCTGTCAGTGACAATTTTCCAAGTTAAGTTACTTGTTATAATACTTAGGATTCTTTCATTCCTATTTATTAGTTACCGCGGACTGACTGAATGATGCAAA